GGGCACACTCCGGCGGGCACTTCAGTGCGAGTCGGCGACTTGGGCGGGCGCGGTAGCGTGTCGACGTCGACGATGGTAGGCGCGGCGACGCCGGCGGCGGCGTCGACAACGACGACGGCGCGGCAAGCAACGGCGCGGATGCTGATCGCGCCGACGACGATGACGGCATTCCTCGCGTCGGCGGTGAATGCTTTGGGGGAGTTCGACGCGCCCGCCCGGCCGAGGCGCGAGAGCGGCCCGCATGGCGCCATTTGGCCCAGATCGTGCTCCCCCAGCACGCGCGCAAGGGCGCGCGAATGATGTCGGCATGCGGCGCGAGAGGCCCGTTTGGCAGAATTCCATGAAAATGTTGAACCACTCATTGTTTCTCAAGAGTTCGCACGAGCGCGAGCGCGCGCATTTTTGAAAACTGGCGTTGCGAAGCCATGTGTTTTTGCTTGTTTTGTTGTCCCTCGGTTTTGACATCCGCGGTGATGGGTGCCAGCGCGCGCGCACTCCGCCCCAGCTGTTGCGACGGCAATTCTCGCGACGGCGCGCGGGCGCAGGGGCGTTCGAAAGATTTCGACACGCGCGCGCAACGTTCGTTTGATAGCGCTTTCTGACAAATGTTGAACAACAAACGGTTTTCAAGAATTCGTAAGATCGCGCGCGCAAGCTCTCCTTGAAAACCCGCGCTGCGAAAACCTGTCTTCTATATGTTCGTTGGGCGCTAAATTTTGAAACCCTTGCGAAATCGACGATTTTTGAAGGCGCGCGCGCGCGCGCACTTCATCTCATTCTTCCGCGGAGGATTGTGGAAAGCGATGATTTTTGAAAAGCGAAAGCGTTGGCATTTTTCAAAGGGTGGCGGAGGGGGCGGAAGCCAGCTTGGCTGGGGAGGCATGAATTCATATTTGGGGTGGGCGGCGGGTCAGCATCACACGCAAATTGCGGTGCGACGCGGGGGGGGATCATGCCCGGGGGGGGGCTATATATATATATATATAATATATATATATATATATCTCAAAAGGAGAACCATGCATATGCCCTTGCAAACACCCCGCCCGCCAGCGCACTCGCGACTTGGTTTGCAACGCCCGCGCGGCGGCGATGGCGACGCATGCCCAGCGTTGGCCGGTGCATCTCTGCGGCCGGGACAGCCCGGGCGCGCGCGCGCAGCGGCCAGCTAGTCTGGCGCGACCGACGCGGCCGCAGCGGCGCCGACTGCCGGGCGCATCCCAGCGGGCACTTCAGTGCGAGTCGGCGAATTCGGCGGGCGCGGTACCATGGCAATGTCGACAACGGTAGACGCGATGTTGATGGCGACGAAGCCGGCGGCGATGTCGGCATCGACGACGGCGCGGCCAGCGCGGGCGCCGATGCTGATCGCGCCGGCGACGATGACGGCGCCCTCGCGTCGGTGATGAAGATTTTGGAAAGTGCTCGACATGCGCGCGCAGCTGACGCGCGAGTGGCCCGCGTGGCGTTATTTGACGCGGATCGCGCCCCGAGAGCACGCGCGCCAAGGCGCGCGGATGACTTCGGCATGCGGCGCCGGAAGCCCGCTGGGCAGAATTCGTGAAAACGCTGAAACACTCATGGTTCTCTCAAGAATTTACAAGATCACGAGCGCAAGCATTTTTGAAAACTGATGTTGCGAAACCAAGTGTTGATATTTGTGTTTGGACACTCGGTTCTAACATCGCTACGCAACCGAATGTTTGACGGATTCTGGCACGCGCGCGACGACGCGCGCGCACTTCGTCGCATTCGTTGCAAGGGATAATCGCGACGGCACGCGCGCGGGGGCGCTCGTGAGATTTCGACGCGCGCGCAAGGCCCGCTGGGTTGCATTTCCTGAACATGTTGAAACCCCGATGGTTCTTTCAAGAATTCGCGAGACCGCACGCGCAAGCATTTTTGAAAACTAGAGATGCGAAGTCCTGTGCTTTTATATGTTTATTGGACACTCGAGTGTGAAACCCCTACGAAACCGAAGGTTTGGGAAGGATTTCGGCACGCTCGCGCGATGGCGCGCGAGCGCACTTCGTCCCGTTTTTGAAGTGCTAGGGAACTCCTGCAAACAAAACTGCTGAATGTTGATGCGCGAGTGCGCGCGCATAGTATGCGTTGCCGAAAATGGCGGGGGGGGGGGGGGGGGCGATGCCAGCTCGGCTTGAATGGCATGCATTCATGTTTGGGATGGACGATGGGCCAAATTCGCGAGCACACTGCGCTGCGCAAGGGGGGGGCCCGCAAGTCCGGGGGGGGGAGGGAGGGTAGGGTCTGCGGCGCGCGCTCTGCGCAATCCACGTTGTGCAATACACGCGGTGCTATTGATTCTACCCGACGAGTTGGCGCATCCCATGCTCTTGCCAACGCCCCACCCACCCACCCGCAACTCGGCTTGCAAAGCCCATGCGGTGGCGATTGCGACGCACGCTTGGCGTTGGCTGGTGCACCTTCGCGGGCGCGCAAACCCAGGCGCGCGCAGCGGCCAGCTAGTTTGGCGCGACCGACGCGGCCGCGGTGGCGCTGACAACTGGGCGCACCCCAGCGGGCATTCCACTGCGAGTCGGCGACTTGGGCGGCCTCATTGCGACGCCGACAACGGTAGTAGCGATGGGTCATAGCGACGCTGGCAACGATGTTCGCGCCGATGATGGCGCGGCCAGCGTGGGCGCCGATGCCGATCGCGCCGGCGACGACGACGGCGCCCTCGCGTCGGCGATGAAGGTTCTGAACAGAGTTCGACACGCGCGCGCGGCCGACGCGCGAGTGGCCCGCATGCTGTTATTTCACGCGGATCGTGCTACCCCCCAGTGCGCGCGCAAGGGCGCGCGAATGATCTCTGCGCGCGGCGCAAACGGCCCGGTTTGGCAAAATTTCACGAACGCCCCGGACAAACAAAACGGTGGTTTGTTTCAAGAATTCACACGGTCGCTCGCGCAAGCTTCTTTTGAAAACTGACGTTGCGAAGCCATATGTTTTCGAATGTTTTGGGGGCGTTCGGTTTTGGAGTCGGTGCGAAGCCGAATGTTCCTGAACAAATGCGGCGGGCGGCTGCGACGACGCGAGCGCGCGCGCTTCGCCCCGCGCTGTTGCAAAGGATTATCGCGGCGGCGCGCGTGCGTGGGCGTTCGAACGAATTCGACATGCGCGCGCGATGCCCGTTTGGTAGCATTGCCTGAAAATGTTGAAAACAAGAACCTGCGGTTTCATTCAGAAGTCGCAAAAACGCGCGCTTTTGTTGCAAAACTAGTGATGCAAAACCATGTTGTCTATGTTTGTTGGACATTCGATTTTGAAATCTCTCCGGAACCGAGAACTTTTGAAGGATTGCGGCATGCGCGCGCGACGACGCGCGCGCGTGCACTTCGGCTCTTTCTTTGCAAGGGGGGTCATGACAGCTGATAACTGTTGGTAAACGAATGCGCGCGCATAATATGTGTTGCCAGGGATGACAGGGGGGGGGGGGTCGAACCCGGCAGGGCTGGGATGGTATGAGCTCATCATTAGGATTGACGATGGGCCAGAATCACGTGTAACTTGCAGCACAAAAAGGTGCACCGTTAAAGCAGGGGCGGGGGGTCCGAAGTCTTTTCTAGAGAAGGGGAATGTATACGTGATGAGATAATGTACGATATTGGTAGCAAGCAATGCAAATTCATACAACGCAGCGCAACATACTGCAAAGCAAAACACAAAAACGCACCGCGATGCAAAAAAATGCGAAGCGAAGAAACGCAAAAGTATTCAAACAAATCTACGTGCTATCTAACGGCGGCGACGAGCGGCGAAAGCGGCGACGGGACGGCGACGGCAGCAACATAGCCGTCAGACCGACAGACAGGCCCAATTCCTAAGATCAGAAGTGAGAATCCCAAGCGCTGTTTGGTGAGCATCCGTGTTCCTGGGGCCAATCCCTTGCAAACGAAACAGATGCGCGTTCCCGGGGCCGAAATCCCTTGCGCAACGCGTGTGTGTTCCGGAGGCCATGTAGGCAATGCTGGGTATATCCTGGGGCGTCATCGGGTCTTTGTGAAACCCTCTTGGAAGAAAAGGCGGGCGGCAACTATATATCGAGGGTTTCGCCCTCTGCCGCTAGCTCCCCCGGAGATTGCTTGCATGGTCCCAGTAGATCGCTTGGTTGGTTTATTGTCATGTCGGTTGGCTGGCTGACATAGATGGCTGGCAGTTGGGCTGGGCTGCCTTGCTGGCTGACTGGTGGCGCGCGTCTGCAATCATGGATGCGGAATGGTGGCCTCGGGAGCGCGAAGGCTGCCGCCAGAGGCCAGAGGACTCCGCCAAACATCAGTCGAGATGGCCTTACAAGGCCCAGGACCGGCCCCAAGATGCCCACAAGAGCGCCCCAGAAGGCCCCAAGGGTGCCCAGTGTAAACCCAGCGTTGTCAGAGATAACCCCAAAGACAGCAGAGCAGAGCAGAGCAGAGCAAAGCGCGCCACTCTCGGCTGCGCGGCGGGGCTTGGAACTGGCGCGGGCGGGCCAGGGCCCTCGGGTGCAGAGGCGGATGTTCTCGACCGGTGGTGCCGTGAGCTGTGCGTGCTGCAGAAGCGCTGCTTTGAATCTGCTTCATCTCGTGCTGTCGCGTGCCTGCTTGAGCCATCGTTGTGTTCGTCTCGCTCGAGGGACATTGATATCTTGAGGTGCGCCCATGGTCCCCCCAAGGTGCGCCCACCATAGGAATCGAAAAAACGGCATAAACATAAACTTTTGGCGCTGCGCGCGAATTTCTTGGATCCGCGCTGGGCCCCTCTCCCTGGCGCACGGAGCGCGCCAGGGGCGGCGCCAGAGGCGCCGCCAGGGCGCTCCAGCGCGCATCCAGGAAATTCGCGCGGAGCGCCAAAAATTTATTAGTGTGCCGTTTTTTCTTCTTCGACACCAGGCCCCTGGGTGGCCAACAAAAAACACGAAGCGACCCGAGGTGGTCCCAAGATGGCCCCAAGATGGCTCCGCCCAAGGGGGGGGATGGCGGCAGGAGGCCCGAACCCTTCGCATATGTCGCAGAAGTATGGATCGACCTTGAGGTCGGCCTTGCCGCCGTGTGTCCTCCCCGCGGTCGCCATGGACTGGCTGGCCTCCGCTGAGGTCTCGGCCTCGAGGGCATTCGCACTGCGCGTGGATGCGATGAGGACCGCCAGGAAGAGGGGGCGAAACGCCATGTCGGAGTTCAACAATCCGTCGCGGAGCGTACAGTACCAATAAAGAAGTGGGGTAAGTCCGCCACTGCGCCGTGTGCACTTAGCGGCGCGGAGTGTCCCCAGGTCCCTTCGGGCTCTATGTGCTGAGTGTTGCGGATATTCTTTTTAGGGGCCAAGCGACTGAGTTCTGGACGCCCTGGGGCGCTCTCGGTGCGGCTCGCGCAACTTTTCTGGAGGCATCGGGAGCGAGGTTTGGATTCCACACTCCCAGCACGGCCTGAGATGGTCCCAGGGACCATCCTGGCGGCATCTCGGGCGCCTCTTGGGCCGCCTTGGGCCCTGAGGGCAGGCCCAAGAGGCTCCAATCAGTGACTCGCCGTTGCGGCCTAAAAGAGAGCCCAAGACAGCCCAACAAGTCCTCAAGCTCGCTCCCAGGACGGCCCAGAGGGCCCCAGAGGGCCCAGGAGGTCCCCAAGACGACCCCAAGAAGGGCCCAGGAGGGGAACCCGAACGGACGTTTTGAGAGCGCCAGCAGGTCCCAAGGGACAGCCAAGAGGCCCCAGAGGCCCCCAAGAGGCCCACACGGAACCCAAAGAGAGCTCCAATGAGCCCCAAAGAGGCCATCAGAAGATCCCAAAGAGGCCCCAGGCAGGCTTCTGGTATGCCTACCGAGATACATCTGCGAGAATTCCGGCCCACAACTCAGGCACAAGGGGCGGGTGGGGCCGGAGGCCACTGAATCCGCCGCCCCCTGTTGGCGTGCCTCAGGGGTGTACGGCGTGCTAGACTTAGGTCGGGCGTGTCCCCCTACGGGCGGATCTTGGACGAAGACTTCAAAATAGCCCCAAAAAAACAAATATTGCAAAACAAATAATCGAAGAATCGTCCCCAGACTATTTTGTTCCCAACCATCCTGTGGTGTTGGGCCCTCGTTTTGAAGAGACCGTGCCCCGCGTCTCTCCTCCTTCCTTCCTTCCTCCTCCCCCTCCGCCCTCCTCCCTCCTCCCTCCTCCCTCCTCCCCCTCCTCCCTCCTCCCCCTCCTTGCCTTTGCTCTCGGCACACCTCTCACACGTTTCGTAGCCCCATAAGGAGCTCCACCGAAGGTCCCAGTGGCACAGCCCGCATGCGTCCGCCACACCCAGCACAGCGTTTCGTGGCCTCATAGGGAGCTCCACCGAAGACCCCAGTGTGGGGGGGGGGGCGCATGCGTCCGCCACACCCAGCACAGCGCTTCGTGGCCCCATAGGGAGCTCCACCGAAGGTCCCAGTGTGGGGGGGGGGGGGGCAGGGGGCATGCGTCCGCCACACCCAACACGGCGTTTCGTGGCCCCATAGGGAGCTCCACCGAAGGCCCCAGCGGAGGGGGGCGCATGCGTCCGCCACACCCAGCACAGCGTTTCGTGGCCCCATAGGGAGCTCCACCGAAGGTCCCAGGGGGGGGGGGCGCATGCGTCCGCCACACCCAGCACGGCGCTTCGTGTCCCAATAGGGAGCTCCACCGAAGACCCCAGTTGAGGGGGGCGCATGCGTCCGCCACACCCAGCACAGCGCTTCGTGGCCCCATGGGGAGCTCCACCGAAGGCCCCAGTGGAGGGGGGCGCATGCGCCCGCCACACCCAGCACAGCGCTTCGTGGCCCCATAGGGAGCTCCCCCGAATGCGATTCCCACAACTGCATATGGTTGGGTCCTTCGCCAGGCTAATCCCACCAGCCCTTTGGGCGTGAGTGGTTTAGAGAGCCCGCTCTGTTCTCAACCCCCCTTCTTCCCCTTCGGGGAGGGGTTTACCCCTCCCCCTCCCCCCTCCCCCTGGGCCCGGAGAAGGCGCCCCGCGGGTGGTTGGAGGGGTCTTGTTCGACTCCTGGGAGGGCTAAAAAACGACACCCCTCACGAGGATTCTGGCCCCGACGGGGGGAGGCAGAAAAATGCTCCCCTCTTCTTTGAAGCCAAAATCATTTATGTTACTACGGTTTTGGCCCCATTTTGGCCTTCTGAGGGGGCAGCGCTAATTAAAGCTCCCCTCTTCTTTCAAGCCAAAAGCATTGATTTTACTACGGTTTTGGCCCCATTTTGGCCTTCTGAGGGGGCAGCGCTAATTAAAGCTCCCCTCTTCTTTGATCGATTTCCTCCAAGATGGCCCCAAGAAGCGCCCAGGAGGCACCAAGAGGCCCCAAGATGGCCCCAAGAGGCCCCCAGGAGGCCCCCAAGAGGATCCCAAACGGCCCAAAGAGGCCCCCCCGAGGCACCCAAGACGCCGAAAAACCCATCAGGACGACCCTCTACTCGCCTGGGCGTCGTTTCTGGACGGGCAGGAGGAGGGGCCCGAACGACTCACACCAGGACGAGGGGCCCGAACAACTCACACCACGAGAAGCCCGAACGACTCACACCAGGACGAAGAGCCCGAACGACTCACACCACGAAGAGCCCGAACGACTCACACCAGGAAGAAGGGCCCGAACGACTCACACCAGGACGAGAAACCCCAAACGACTCAAACCACGAGGAGCGCTTTCTCTCCCTCCTCCTCCGCCTCGTCCTTCTCCCGCTCCCACCACAAGGAGGATGTACAAGGAGGCGGGAGGAAGGAGGAACAGGGGAGATATGCGGGGGCAGGCGGAAACACGCCTGAAAAACACGACTGTCGGCATGCTTCGCTAGAGTTGCTGTTTTGAGATGGGCTGGTGGGGATACGCGAAGCGTGAAGAATTTCCTCCTTTTGAACATTCCTCCTGTAGAGGGACAGGCCGACTCAATGCTGATGGACGTCATGTAATTATCTTAGTTCCCAGGGACCTTCGGCCTCATGCCCTGGCCATCCGGAAGGCTACGCAAGGGAGGAAAACGCCAGAGAACTCGCCGCCAAGGGTGCCTCGATGGCCTCCGAGATGCCCCCAAGACGGCTAAGATGGTCCCAAGCGAGCCCAACCAAGATGGCCCCAAGATGTCTCGAAGATGGGCCGAACTGCGCCCAAGATGGCCTAACATGGCCCAAAAATAGCCCAAGAGGGCCCACGAGGCCCCCAATACTGTCCCAAGACAACGCAAGAGCCCTCTCCAAAAAGGCCCGAAGAGGCTAACATCATGGATTTGTCAATTGTTTTTGGGGTTTGGCGTTTGCTCCTTTTTGGCTTTCCGTCTCAATACGGCCCAACGAGAGGCCACCAAAATGGCCCCAAGAACGCCCAAGCGGCCTCCAAGAGGACCTCCAGGAGGGCCTCTTCGGGCCTCCGAGACGAGACTGCCCAGGAGACCTCTAAGACGCCCAACATGGCCTCAAAGACAGCCTGAAGCGCCCCTGGCGGCGATCGAGGGGGGGAAGTGAGACGGAAAAGGCCTTCTCAGAAAGAGGCGGTACTTCTCAGCAGCCCTCGCGCCTTCTGAGAAGTACGTAGTGTCTTCGGGGACAGCTAAGAAAACTTCTCAGAAGGCCTGGGAACTTCGGGGAAGGCTTAGAAACTTTCTCAGAAGGCTTGGGGACTTCCGAACCATCTGAAAAGGCTTTTTCCTTAGTCACTTCCCCCCTCGCTCGCCGTCGAAAGAGGGCCCCAAGTCGGCCCAAAGAGGTTTCCAAGACGGCTTCGGACGGCGTCATACGGGCCAGGAACGCACAAGACGAGCGGAGATCGCACAACGCCTGCCCCCAAACAACCCCAAGGAGGCCTCCGAGAACCTTCAGGAGGCCGCCAGGAACCGCCCCAAAGGCTCCCAACAGGCTTCCTCCTCCTCTTCCTCCTCCTTTTTCCTCCTTTCGTCCTCTTCCTCACCCGAATATTCCCCGCAGAGATCCCACACCTGCTGGGGAAGACACAGTCCGGGAGCGTGGCTGAGCTCTGACCAAAACGTTCGGCCACACATTTACGTGTTTCCACATGGCAGGGGGCGGCGGTGATTCGCCGTAGGCGTCTTCGATCCGCCGCCCCGTGTGGTTGCTGCGAGGGTGCACGGCGTGCCACATGTTACGTAGTTTGGATGTGTTTGCAAGGTTTTTCTTGTGGGTTTCTAGTGAGTCTTTGACCCAACCCGGCAGCCACCAGAAAAGTTCCACCAGACGCCCGGCGTGGCAGCAGAAAAATAGGAAATGTGTCCCACTTGAGCCAGAAGGCGAACAACAATACAAATTGACCACAATCCCTGGGCTGAATCTACCGTTGAAAACCAAGAATTCTCGCGCACTCGTCACAATTACTCCTAGGTTCAGCCGTCGCATGGATGATACGAGACATGTGGTAAATGCAGCACGGCGACTTTCCTGGCACCCTTCCGAGTAGCATGCTACTGATGTCCGCCAGCAAAGAAACACACTAATTACTTATCCTTTTCCACTCTTCTGTCCGGCCGCCCGGCCGAGGAAAGTGGAGAAATGGAAGGTTGAGGGGGAAAAGAGCGGGGAGAGGACGGAGGACCACCACCACCACCACCGACCACTCACTGATCCCGACCAGGATGGCGCAACTCTTCCCAAGTGATTATGGCAGACCTGGACTCGAACTCTCTCCGGGGCGCGGACTGCAATCGGCTCTTCAGCTATGATGCGGTCCTCCTCCTCTCCACCGATGGGCCCTCGCCCACGAGAACTATCTTCCCCTGGCTCGTAACTCGAAGAGGGCTGCGTTACACTTGGTAATGTCATATTTGGACATGGCGTCTACTGGCATACGGCCGCGGGGTATCCGACGCACCCGGCCCTGTGCTCCCTCGAGGGACTCGCAAATTATCGCGAGGTCCAGCGCAGGTCTCCTGTCCTTGGCAGAGGCGGTACCTTCTTTGGTGCCACGTCCACGACGTGGACCTGGTCCCGGCGGCTACCTAGACTACAGTCTCGACGGAGAACAAGAGTGAACGGTCCTGCAACACGCCTACACTCTGGCACGTCCACATCTCTGAACAACACGTCGCGATACAAAGCCTGCAGATATTCTACCTCCGCCACGGCGGCTGAGAGACCCTGAGTATTTCCAGCCAGAGTGGACGGCACTTTGCGGCGGAACTTGAAGTTCGCTACTCTCGCTACTCCGCCATCCGAAGAACGAGGCCATCATTGAGTTATTGGACATAACTGACCTGTCAGATGCTGGGATCATCCACGCGCCCTGTGTCGGATCCACGGGGAGGCCCCTGTCGTCGCCCATATCCAGGTCAGCACCCGCGCCCTCGCCGTCGGAGAGGGGAATTAACACGAGGCGGCCCGGGTCGAGCTTCCATATGGTCAGGCCTCTTGAGGCCGCAGCACGAAGATGCCCCACCATCGGGTTGGCACACGCCGCGTCCAGGATCCGAGGAGCGGCGAGCCGGCTGGCTACTACAATGGCCACTCCTGCCCTTGGCTAGAGACAGGGGGCGAAGTTCATCCATAATATTTTCCCTGATCTACAGCTATCTTGCCCGCCCCGAAGATAAGTCGCCCCCCGGCAAAAACCGGGGCCCCCGCGTGGCAATGCTATAATGAGATTCGAGGGTGGACCCGAGCCACTTCCTTTCCTGTCCTGGTCGCTGGAGCTGGCTATCAAAAAGTCGTCTACGTCAAGAAAGAACACGTCCCGAATCTTGCCGTCGGATCCGTAGCGGATCCACCAGCAAGACTCTAGCAAGGATCTCGCAAACCCGCGTTGGTTCAGCAAGGCGACGACAGTCCGCCCCCAGGCAACCGGGGCATCGTCGGGGCCATAAACGTTAACGAGGAGCCGAATCAAGCTTCCGGGTTCCAGCTCGAGCCCTTCGCAGGGCCCCGCGCAAATCTCACCTCGAGCGCGGCGCGTGGAATCTGACTGACAGAAGGCGTTCTCGACGTCGGCAATGTCACCGACAATTTCCAGACGCATCAACCAGCGGAGACGCATCGCAATGGGCGACGTCTGGGGGGCGGGGGCAGAGACGGCCAGGGCCCCGGAATCGGGGTCGCGATGTCCGCCCACGCACCAGCGGCCCCTAACATCCGGCTCGGCAAACGCGCCTTGGACCGGCTTCCGCCTCCCGGCCATCCGACTGGACATTATCCAATCGGGCATCTCCTTGCGAATAGCACGGGCCTTGCTGAGCGGAATCACTTCACTTCTCTCTCTCAGACCCCCCACCCACCCATTACTGGCAACGCGAGCGCCTCCGTCTCTCAGGCCCTCCGCCGGGGCTCCCATCGCCGAGCTCCGGCTCCTTTCCGGCTCGACAACTTCGGTCCGCAGGCCGTTGTTCGGGCCGGGGGGGGCCCAGAAATCCCTGGGACCGTCGCGCCGTCGCGTCGGCGACTGGGACCTCGGTCTTCCCCGTCGCTCCAAGTTCTCCATGATCTCCATGACTCCACTCCACGAGACACCTCCGGACTTGTCGTTTGCGCTCGGGGCCCTGGGCCGCCCAAGCCGGGGGGGGCCGGAGGGGGAGCGGGGGGGGGTATGCACATGCAGCGGCGGGCCCAAGGTCGCGGACCCGCCTTCCGCCTCCAGTCGCTGCCTCTCCACCTCGGGAGGCGAACTAGAGGCTCGAGCAGCTCGGATGCAGGCTGGCACGCCCTTAGGCTCGGCCAGCCCCCTAGCGCCGGCCCCCGGGGCCTGCACGTCAAGAGACGGAGGCGGGGAGAGGGAGGGAAGGAGGGCGGGAGGACGACCGGGGGGGCGGGAGACGGAGGGGCGAATGTTGCTCCCCGAGCCTGACGACCCCGCTCGCCCCAGCGCGCTGCCCGACTCTTCTCTGGGAGCGTGGAGAGGTGGCGGAAGCTCGGCGAGGGGCCCGGAGCGGTCCGACTCGGGGATAGAGGGAAGCCTGAAGGGAGGCTGCGCCGTCGTCGATCCGGCCCGAGAGGCCCCCCTCCCCCGTCGCGACGCGGGCCCCGGGACCGTCGGGGAGGGAGAGAGGGGGGCGAGCCGAAAGGTCGAGAGCTCGCGCCGCGCTCCTCCGTCTCTCCCGGCAGCCGGGGGCGTCGACGGCGGGCGCTCACCTCGTGCTGACGGTTTGGAGGAGTTCGCGCCACTGGGGATCCTGGGTTAACTGGAGGCCGCATTCTTCCGCGGGGCTCGCAAGCCGCGGAGACGGGCCGGGAAGTCCGCCGTCGCCCCCCGGGCGACGGGGCCGCCCATCTTCTCCCATCCGACAGCGACAAATGCGAGACGCGCCGGCGTCGGGGCCGTTACACCACAGGGGCGGATCATCACGGCCTGACTGCGACGAGAAATTGCCCCGGTGAGACCTCGGTCTCCGGCGCGTCTGAATGGCCTGACTGCTCGAGGAAAAGGCTGCGGAGTGAGGGTTGGAGGAGGGGCACTCGTGAACTCCGCCGCTTCTCGGGGATCTTCTGACCCGGGTCAATCCAGACCCGGGTCAGCAGGAAACCAAAAACTGCAATGCAGGAAAAAAAACTGCAACGCAGGTCCTCGCAAACCCGGGTCAGCCAACATGCGCGGCCGCCTCGCGGCCACGAGCGGCTCCCTGACCCGGGTCAGCCAGAGGGGGCCTTTGCAGGATCCTGCAGGATCTGGCGCCCTGGCTGACCCCCGTCTGCATTGACCCCCGTCTCAGGGCTCCCGAGCTTTTCTTGCCAGGGGCCCTCCGGCGCCTGGCTCGGGCCCCGCGACGCACGCGCGCCCAGCCGCCTTGGCGTCTCGAGATCTAGGTATCTGAGCCCGCGACATTCGCACCTGGGGGAGCGCTCGGATGCCTTCGAAGAACCTGCTCAGCGACCCGCGGCGCCCCGCGGAGGTCCGGGGGCCCTGTTTCTTGAAGCCCTGGGCAGGCGAGAACGCGAGCTCGACGTCGCTCTTATAAGGGGGGGCACGGCAACTTCTGGGCCCCTGGATTCTCGACGACGTCGGCGCCACTCGCGCCCCTGAAACTCGCGCCCCTCGGAATGCCAGAACGGCGAGCGCGAGGCCCATGGCCCCTTGGGGCCCTTCTTCGACGAAAACCCCTGTTGGAAGCCTGGGGGGCCCCGCAGGCAAAGGCGAGGATGGCCATGGGGGCGACGCGCGGCTCGAGCGCCCCCTCGGGCGACCGCGTCGGAGGGCGCTTGCCGAGACGCATCAGGCCCACTGTCTGACCCAAAGTGCACATTCGCAACTGGCCCCTCGGAAGACTGACCGAGCTGGCCAGAAAATCGAGCGCGCTCACACTGGTGATGCGCGGCACTGGCTCGGCCAGCGCCGCGGTCTCGACGATGCCTAGGGCCCCCCCCCCAAGCAGAAATGAGAAAGCACAGCGGTCACGACCTCGGCGGCTCCGCCCACGCCGCGCGCCGCCTTGGGCTTCTCGAGCGACTCGGGGACCAACTCGCAACCCGTGCTCCGCCAGCGCCTCGGACTCACGTCTGAGCGCCTCTTCGCCCGCCGCGCCGTTGCCGGCGCCAGGGTCGACGAAGTCCTGGGTCGACAGGGCGCCGATGCATACGGCGTCGGCGCTCATCTCCTGCCCCGCGCGGGGCCAGCGCGGGGGCGACCCCGGGTCGAGGGCGCCGTCGGACGCGAACCCGTCGCACACGTCTGCGGACAGCCATTCTCGCTCCTGACCTCCAGGTCGAACGCCCGTCTTGCACTTCTCTCGCCTCGGGCTCCCAGCGGCTCTTCCCGTCGCAAATCGCGCGCCGAACGACCTTCGCCGACTGCGCGGCCGACAACTTCTCACCTCCGTCGCGCCCGCGGCCCCGACCGTCTCGACTCCTGCCTCGGCCCCCCGCTGTGCCTCGGAACCCGCGCGACTGGCCCATCCCCGGCTTGGCGCCGAAGTGCTCCCGGTCACGCTGCGCCGCCTTCTTGATCTACTTGTGCTGACTCCAAGAGTGGCCGTTGGCAAGCATCGCGAGAGCCTCCTCGACCTCGCCCTCTCCCACGTCTAGGTCCTCGAGCTCCGCCAGCAGAGCCGCCTCGGCGAGCTCGTCATCCTCCACTTCCTCGTCAGTGCAGTTGCCGCCCTCACCGGCCTCGAGGTCACCGCCACCGCCGTCGACCGAACCGGAGGGAGAAGGGCAGGAGTGAAACTCATGCCCAGACGCGCCAGAGCTCAAGGTACGCCGGGCCGCGGCCCTCAGAGGACGATGCCACATGCGCGGGCCCAGGACTCGGTCTCCCCGGCAGCAGACGCTCCGGG